GGTATGATAGCCGTCCGTGACCATCTACCGGGGGTCAGATATCACGGATCAAGCCGCCAATATCGCACCACGACCAACGCGAATCCCTAGGTTGTCTCTCACACGACCAAAATTCCGAGACCAAAAGCTTGGGTCCCCCCGAATCGCCGAAATTTAGCCTTCCTCAGATCCTTCCCAATCAGAGCTCTCAGTGTTTAGGGCTTTGCAGCCTTGCACCCAGAACCAAATCCCAGCAACCTGGTCAGTCCAGGACCGCATTCGCCTCACACAGACATTCCGCAAAGTTCTCCATCACATCGACAAAACCCCTGCAATAAGTTACCCTAGCAACTCTCCCCACTGCTGGTCACTCACGATACCACCGGTCGAAGTTCAAATCAAGCCAACACTCCTCGTACGATTAACCTTTTAAGCCGCACAGAGCCTCAAAATCCATGCGTGCGGGGGAATCTCCCCTCACCCCGATTTCACAACACAGTTCTCGATCATTGTACGAGTACTCAACAACTCCGGCATCCCCAGCCTTTTTCCCCCTTTCCCGTACCCCCACGGGAACGAAGCCAAAGAAGAGAAAATAAAAAGCAAAAAAATAAAGAAAGATACTCCCGACGTGTTTATATATTAAGCGCCCCGCCCCACTCCCTCCCTTCCCTCCCTCCATACATATCGGTACACGCATCCGCACTGCAGAAGTGGGACCATCACATATGATGGGTGCCGCACAGCGCCGTACAGCACATACCCGACCCGAAGTCCGTATCTTCACTTTTTCCCCTCTGAGTCCTTTGTATTAAAAGAAAGAAAAGAAGAAAAAAATGGAGGTTTTGGATGAGATGGGATGAACACGGTAATGCGGGATATGCGGGCCGTCATACCGGAAAGTTAGCGGACTCAACTTTGCAGTGGTGAGAGGTGAAGAAGAGCACTCACATGCTAAAGCTCGTTTCGGAAGAATGGTTTCTGTACAGTACCACAAAGCCGGTTTGCATCAATTCCTTTAACATTTGCTTCCCTATCAGTTACTTTCCTAAAATCCCTACATTTCCCTAGAGCTGCACTCGTGCTGCTGGTATGGTACGAGTACTCGAGTAGAGCGCTGCGCCGTAAGCCTCTTGCACCAGGATTTTTCCAACTCCTCTCGTTAATAAAGGTTAAAGGATCCCCCCCCATCTTGGGTGCTGTCTCCCGATTCTGTCTCATCGTGTTTGGTGCTTGTGGCATTTTTTGCCGATGATATTTGCTTATTCGGCGCTCCACTTTACGGGTTATCCGGTTACAGTACTAGTATATACTAATATATGATTAGTATCGTACCCGGTTCGAAGAGCCCGGTCCCTCCGTCGAAGGAGAGGCGGATTGGCACTGCGCAAATACCGGCGCAGTACCGTACATGTCTCAGAGAGGGGGATTGGTGACAATACCGGTGCAGTACTGTACGAGTACAGTACACCAAGAGGAATATTGTATAATCTATACTATACTCGAGTACAATCTATACACCATATAATCTATTTACTATATATAACCTATTCATTTCTCTCAAGCAAAGGATAAGGTCTCGCTCTAATGCTTGCTTGGGTGTAACACTTGTAGCATAGTAGAAGCGAAATCGATCGTAGGATAAGCATTTACTGAGACATTAATCCGATCATCTCTTCCGACCTCCCCCACATCCCCTCCCTCCCCTCTCGGCCGGCCATACTCGAACAGCGTGTTGTGCACGCACCTGCGACTCACTCAAATGCCCGGATTGCAGGGATCCACCGATTCACACCATGTCACTCGTGGGCTTGAACCACTTTCCTATCTTATTTTACTTCCCCCAGACCTCCATGTCTCCCCCATCCGTGGTGCAGCCACAACAGTCAAGCTACCCACTTACTCAGAGAAGTTGCAATCCACAGGCCATGAATGGCTCAACAGTTACTCGTACAGCACATACATGCCACACCGTTTCACGAAAAAAAAGAAAAAAAGTCGGCGTTGCAGAAAAGGATCCAATCCAAACACAATATTATCAGGAAAAGCCAAGAAAAGCCCACCCCCCCCCCGCTCCCCCTCCCACTGTCTCCTTCCGACGCCATCAACCCCATACCGGTATTCCCATCGCAACCCTCAAGGAAAAGGAAAAATGTGATGAATGGAGAACTTCAAATTTACGGTACGTACCGCTTTTTTTTAAAAAAGGGAAAAAAGAAAAGAAACGCACTGTCGCAACGGTAGCGTACTCGGAGACAAAACATTGGATGAAAAAAAAATAAAAAACTCAAGCACTTTTGTCCACTTTTCTCAATCGCGGAGTTGGTCCGTGGGAGCTATCGGACCAGATAGCTATTGCGGCTATGATAATTTAGTTATCATCCGAATAGCTATTATAGCTAGCTGGACGCGCGCCATCGCCATCGCCCGCAAACCCCACAATTCTTAACCAAGAGATAATAAATTAAGTACCGTAGATGAAGTGGGATTTTCCCCATCCGTCCATCCATCCGTCCATCCATCTTTTTCCCTCGCTTTTGATATATCACAGGACTATTTATCCCATGTGATTGTATCTATCTATCTATCTATCTATTTATTTATTGCTCCAGATGTTGCCGTCATGTCACCAGGACCAAGAGAAAGGGAGAGGGAGAAGGGCCAAGTGATGTTCCAGAAAGGAGATGTGATACCAGTTACGCAAGCTTTTGTAAGAAAAAACAATGTAGCTGAGTCTAGATGTTTTTTTTGATTTTTTTGAACGGGGGAGGGAAGGAGAGAAGAAGATGGAAAAAAAGACTCATCCAGATGCACTTCTTCCCCAATACCGGTGGAGTACGGTGAGTGTAACGGTACACCGCCAGAGCAAAACGAATTCGGTCGGCTCACTCCGAGAGAGAGAATCGCGTAGGCGAGTGATAGAAGTGATACTTGTATACTCGTGTAAGCTCACGAGTTGATGTCTGATATGAAGGGGGTTAGTTATTACTGTGCCGGGATTTTTTTTGTCTCTCGTGATGTTGCTGAGAGAGAACTGTACGATTGAATGCCAATGTTCAAAGGTGAAAACAAAATTCCATACCGGTGCAATACTCGTATCCACACTTTCAGCACCACAATAAGTTACGGCCTAGTCTACCATGTCACACAGCCCAGCGCGAATGGATGGATGAATGTGTGGAGATGTATACGGGTACTGTACTGTACTGTACATGTTGACACGTCGGTACTATAGACGAAGTGAAAGAAACCCTTCCTATTTGGGTATGATACCTTATACAATAATACTGTATATATATATAAACAATGATGTATGTATGTACAGTACTTGTAAACGGGGAAAAAGCCAGATCGATCAAACCCTGTTCAAACCGTGAAACTGTTTCACACAACATTGAAGCCACTTCACGTTACCGTCCGTAGAGTATCGTAGTTTCTACGATACCCCCGGGTGCGATAAGAGTATCATAAGTTGGATAAAAACAAAACTCGACTTGGCACAAAATCTTCCCACCTCCCCCCCCCCCCAATACTGTACTGTACTTGTACTGTACTGTGCAGCAACGGCTCACAGCGAAAGCAATAAAATCCAATCAACGGATTTTTCTTTCTTTCACGGGCCGTTTGTACTCGTATCATATGTAATCATGATAATGCGGGGCAAGTTCCAGCCTTGATTGGTCTGGTTACATATATAACATATAATACATATCGTACATACATCCGCCCACCCGGTATCTATCTATATCTATCTATCTATCTTATCGATCAAGAACGATTAACTCTCCTGATCAAACCCCATGACGGTTACCCAGCGTCATCCTGCCCGTCGATCAACAGGCAAAGTATATCATGCTCGAGTATGATAGGCTGGCAGTTACTGGTCAGTATAGTACTGTACAGTGCCACCATAAGCAATCAAGCACCCCAGTCTCTCTCTCTCTCTCTCTCTCTCTCTTAGGCTATGGCTACTCGAGTAAATCCTTGTACGATAGGATTAAACCAACGGTAATAGGGCTATGTGAAGGAAGGAAGGGAGGAAGGAAGGGGGTGATGAATCCATCGGAAAAGACAAGACTATTGTACTCGACTCTGGATAGACCCGCCTTCCTGGAACCTGCCAGAGGCCATCCCGGGTATCATATCTCACATATCAGATCTGCTCCGATCCCTTTTTGCGATGACATGCCCTGGCCAGTTATTCCACCTGTTACCGGCTCTATGTTACCGGCTCTGCCGTAGCAACATACGCACATACAAGTATGATATTATGATAACCGGTAGACTATGTGGGGTGCATGTACTGTACTGTACAGTACGGGACGGGGCATGAGTACCTACCACCATCGTGATTAAAAATTGAAGAAAGGGGCAGCTATGATTCTTCCCCCGGGAATTTAGCTGCTTTGGTGAGAGCCTCCAGCTTGGTTCATGAGCTGTATGATGGTCTATAGGCATGACGGTGAATACCTACCTACCCACCTACCTACCTGGCGAGTTGTTCACTCTGCAGGGGGGAGGGCGGGGGCGGTGTATTTTTTTCTTTTTTTTTTCTCTCTTTTACTTGACGATACTGTGGATTACTGTACAGTTCTCACAGAACTGTCAATGGGGCACTAAACTAGATTTGGACCGGTCCCCAACAG